AACCTAAACACATGTAAATATGGGCCCCAAAATTTTAAAAGCCCTGTTCAAAATCTCACATTTAACATGTTAAAGGACGACCCTGCTTCTGAGTTCCTCCATGTCCATAAAAACTAGTGATTTTAGAAATAAAAGGAAAGAAAGAAAGGAAAAAGGGTTTCAATAATGACCTCCAAGATTAGTGTCAAAAAGATGTTACCATGCTACAACAAAAATGGCAACCATCCTAATATAGATTTTAATGACAATCTTTTAACAACTGTGTCTCTTATATAAATACATTACAATAAATTATTAAGATGAAGTTGAGCAGCATAATTAGTTTTTCCTTATGAAATAATAAGTGACAAGAAATTAGGATGAAGCTATATGACCTAATAGGACTCAGGGAGATAAATCATTGTATTAGCCTTTTATAGAAAGGGTTGAATAAATGCATGAATTAACAACATAGTTTCATAAATTTTCTTATTATAACATTGTATTTTCATTTTTTCTTGTTACAGTAATGTACTTTCAAATTATTTTTTATTAAGATATCTATACTTTGAAAAATCTATCAATTATAGCACTGGGTAACTTGTTACATTTTAAACCGGTTAACCCCGTACTTTATTTGCTTCATTGGCTTAAATGTGGTTATATAGATGATACATTATTTTGATGACATGACTAAAAAAAACTTCTTTTAAATTATTTTTAATGATTTCACTCTTTCATTTCCACGATTTAGAAAAAAACATTAAAATTTTTTTTTTAACTTTTTCTTATTAAAAGTACAATACTCTAATAAAAATTAATTTAAAAGTATATATCTCTATAATAAGAAAAACTAAAAATACAATGCTATAATAATTTTTTTATGAAAGTAGATTGTTATTTCATACATTTTATTATTTATAAAACACCCATAAATGATATCTTAAACACAAGGTTAGTTAATCTAAATACTTGCTAAATGTTATGAACAATAATTTGAGCTTAAGAAAACATAATTTAATAAAAATATTTAATTAAGGATCAAATATCTAATAAAACAATTAAAATTTAAAGTTTCCAAATACCAAATAGGTTTAGAAAGTAATTCAAAAAGCAAATTTTTGATAAAACTAATATATAACATTTTCATGACGAATAGCCGAACCCTTGGAACATACTACAGTCCCAGGTGGCGAAGAGCATACATACATACGTACGTACGTACGTACGTACGTACATACATACATACATACATACATACATACATACATACATACATACATACATACATACATACATACATACATACATACGGTATATATGTGTTTTTGGAGAGAGGGAATATTTTATATAAAGTACCAATCTCTAGTTTCAAATGATTGGGCTTTATTTCTTATTCTAACATAGAGATGGCCATTTGTAACCGGCCCGGCCCGTAACCGACGGAGGCCCGGAACCGAGCCCGGCTCATAACCGTAACCGACCGGGACCGGCCATAA